AGTTTGATTAGCTTTTGATGTCTTATTCTTTCTCTCTTTTTTTTTGAACTAAAACCTGCTTTTGGATCAACCTATATTTTCTTGGATGTAAATTTGATTCTGTTATGTTGATATTTGTAATCATTGGTGCTTTTCATAACTGGTGAAGTGCCTGCATATTTGTAGATTTTGATTTTTATACATGAAATGAAAGTGTGCTTTGTGCATATAAGAACTGTTCATCTTCTATTGAGGGGTTAAAACTTGGGCTGGTGGCCTACAGCTCCATGCTATCCTGTAAAGTTGTAATGCAAAAAATGAGTTTCCCACTCTGAGAATTTATTTCTGGTTCAGTATATGTTAAAAGGTTTTACTACTCTTATTTCAAATGCTTCTTTACTGGAGATGATTCTGTTATGTTTCTATTTCCTCGATCAATTGGGCTTAAACCTTACGTGCTCTTAGATTCTTGCATAACTTCATGGAGGAGAGCAGACTAGTACAAAGTTTCTTAGCCTGTATGGTTTACATGAATGTGGCTTATCACGACTTTAATTCACCAAAAGCTTTTTTGGGATACTAAGGATTTGTTTGGTACGGCTTTCTAATTGCTTCTTAAAATAATTTTTTGATATAAAAGTTAAAATTTTTGCAATCGAAAACTATTTTAAGAAGCAGTAAAAAAACCTTCACAAACGAAGTCTAAGTATATATATATGTTTGGAATAGCTATTTAATCATTTTGTTATTTATACTCTAATAATAATTTTTTGTTTGACCATTATTATTTTACGCTTTAAAAAAAAATTATCGTAAAAAGTTGCTCTCTATAATAAGTTTAAAAAATTAATTTCTCCACAACAATATTATAAAGTAGCAAGAAAGTTGTCTCAAATTAAATCTAAGTATACATATCTATAGGGGATTCAGACACCAGGATATCCACACTTACAAGAGATTGTGGAAAAGCTAAGAGAGTTAGGGTTGTAAAAAGAGCTCGGTGGTCATGTTTGATTTTGTTTGGTTTTAGGAGCTCATTTGAACTTAGCATGAAATTATTTTATTGTGTTTCTCTTGATGGCAACACAATTAGATTTGCATCTAAAAATGTGCACATCTCTCTCTTTCTCTTTCTCTCTCCCCCTCTCTCTCTTTCTATATAGAGAGAGAGAAAGAAAGAAAGAAAGAGGAGAGAGAAAGAGTGAAAGAAAGTTAAAGAATGTTTGTATGTTTAATATGTTTGTATGTGAAGCCGTGAAGGCATATAATTGTGTAAATACTCATTCATGCATGTGTATTAAATGAATAAGTATGTATATGAGTGGCAATATTTATATTTGTTTGACTCAATGAGTGGTTTTTTTTTTTTTTAATTACACCCATCTTAATTATTGCAGTTTTTTTTTTTTTTTGAAATTATTATTATTATTATTGAATAGTTGATGTTTTTCACACTCACTCAGAAGAACTTTTATTAGGCCAGGACACTAACTCTACATCCGGACGTCATAAAATGTTGCCACATGCTCTTACTTTTTACCGCGTGGCCCGACGAGCCGACCTGGACCGAAAATCTGTATTGCTATGTTCATGTATTGCTAGGTATTGCTCGGTATTGCTAGGTATTGCTTGGTATTGTTATGTATTGCTTGACAATAACGAGAAATACCGCTCTTCCAAGGCCAATACCGAGCAAAACCTAGCAAAACCGGGGTATTACTCGGTATTGCTAAGTATTCGTCTTGACAGGGTGGTATTTCTCGTTACCGAGCAATACCTAGCAATAGGGCCATAGCATCCATATATAGAAAATATTTTTAATATTGAGATTTTAAATTTTTTAAAATAATGATTAAAATTTGATATTTAGTTTTAATAATATGACACTAACATATTATTATAATCTTTATGAAAAAATAAAGATAACTAATTGATATAGAGTTAAATAAAAAAATTATGAGATTTGATTGACATTTTTTAAGATAAAAATAGGTCTAATCTTGAAAATAATAAAAAAATTAGAGTAGCATGAAAAAAAAGCATCCACAGAATAAATTTTCATGCATTCATGAATGCCAAGATGTACATCCATTCACCAAGAATGATTGTTCTTTGTTCCCAAGTTTCAACCACCAACATGTAAGGATAAACATAACAGAATGTACAGTACTATTTACAAAGATCTGTGCATACAATAAAGCAAATAGCTGGTTTTTCCTTGCAGAAGAATTGGTCAGGTAAATTTGATAAGAGTGCCATCTCCTTTCAGAGATCTGGCTTTCCAACTACTGCTTCATCACTGGAATCATATTCATCATCTGAGAGCTCACCATCACTTGAATCTTCAGGCGGAGCCGCCGCTGAATTCTGCTTGGCATGTTTTTCGCAGTATTCTGTTCAGAAATCCATGAAGAATTGGATGATATAAGCTTTAGAATCATTGAAAGAGAATAAAATGGAAAGAAGATGAACAAACAAAGCACATCAACAACTTCATAAATATTCATGGCTGCATTCTGTTCTTGTTACTGTAAATTTTATTATAATGATGGAATTTATTAAGCATCAAAAAGTGCCACCACTTTGTCTAAGGTTTTGTTTGGGACAGCTTTCTTGCTGGTTCTTAAAGCAACTTTCTAGTATTAAAATTAAAATTTTTGTACTAAAAAATTATTTTAAAAAGCAATAAGAAAATTGTCCCAAATGAACCCTAAATTTGGCTGAGTGATGCATATCCATGGACTCCATCCCTCATGTGTCCAAAGAACTACCTAAGAGCCCATCACTTACCTCCATTAGCATTAGCTTGGGCAATCTCAATTATGTGGAGCATTTAAGGCATGATTATTGAGGCAATATTACCTATTCTCCTCTCATCAATATTGTTGCAATATATTTTTTAGATTTCTCCATGACTCCTCACCAATAGAGCTCTTTCAAATTTCAAAGTCTCAAAGGTCTAAGCATTACGTAACCTTATAAAATCCATAGAATGCTTCAACTTTAAACTTACCAGAGATCTCCTTAAAGAACATTTTGATAGGAAGTGGATGCAATTAGTCTCTACTCTCTATGAGAACGGGTCTGCGGCCGAGTGGTCGACGGAAGAAATTCCCCCATGTCAATCGGGCTCGAATCCCCTAACGATCCTAAAAAAAAAGTATCTGCTCTCCATAGCCATTAACTTCATACATACATAATTAGTTTAATGTCTACGGGTGAAATATCAACATTAGTTTTATCAAAACTGATTGGGGTAACAATTAGGTAAGGCATGATGATGTAAATTTGACTGCAACATCTTTGAAATTACAAGAATCAATATTCAAGGAAGGGGAGAAGCTTAAAGCTAGATTCTTAGATTGTAACAAGGTGATTAGGGTTTTATTAAATGAAAGGTGTCTTAACATTTTTTGGTGATGGATGTGCAATCCAAAGTGGATGCCTATTTAGATATGATTAGAAAAAAATTAAACATAAATACTTGCTTTGCACAATACTTTATTGGGGATGGAAGTTGTTGGGGATGATGAGGAGTAAACACCACAATGACGAAACAAGCAATAAAGTAAAAGCAACGGAAAAGTAAAAGACACCAGTATTTAACGTGAAAAAATCCAAAATAGGGAAAAACCCACGGAGACACAGCACACCAAGAAATCCACTATGGAAATTGGGAGAAATAAGTGCAGATCTCTCCTCTCGCACTCTATTTGCTTCTCTTCTCATATGCACCGTTCTCAATATCTACACACTCAAAACATAATAGAAAGCCAAGTAAAATAACCCCAAGGGATGCAACCCTTTAAAAACTGAGAAAGAAAATTGTTAGTCCATCTCGCAGCAATGTTACTCTAGTTTGAAGCCCTGCGGCACTAGAACCTCTGTCTTGATCCGCTGCAGTGTTGTATCTATGCTGTTGCAGCGCTTTGCTTTGTCTTTCAGTACCAGGGCACTCGGAAACACAATGCTGGGGGGCTTAGGTACGTAGAGCTGAGGCATTGTACGAAAAAAAAATGGGTGCAAAGCACCCGAACCCAAGCAGGGAGGGTAAACCCAAACTTAAGGTCCCAGGCAACAAAACAATCCAATTGATCAACACAATCACAATCCACACATAATAAGCAAAACAATATGATGGAACAAAAAAAGAAAATAAAAGCATCAAAAAAGTAGAAGACATCAGGGCTTAACGTGGAAAATCCCAAAATAGGAAAAAAATCATGAAACCACACCACACCAAGAAATCCACTATGAAAATAGGGATAAATAAGTACATATCTCTTATCTCTCTTGCTCTCTCTTTGCTTCTATTCTCTCTTAGTCCGTTCTAACACTCAAAACACAAAAGAAAGTCAAGTTAATAACACCAAAGGGATACCACCCTTTAGAAAAACGAGAAAGAAAATTGTTCAATCCGCCTCACAGGCGCTACAATGCCAGTTTGGAACACTACGGGGCTCAGACCTCTGTCATCATGATGATGTGGTATTTAAACCCGTAGTGTTGTGGTACTACATAGCATTGCGGTGCTAAATCTAGAGCATTGTGGCATTTTGCTCTCTGTCGTTTTAACTCTTCAACACCGGGGAGCTCGGAAATGCAGCGCTGGGGCGCTACTGACGTCCAAGGCAACACTACAATCCGATGATCGATGCAATAAGATTCCACACATAACTAACATGCTTGATGTTTAATGAACTCTCATTTCAACATTTGCTTGAGCATGTTCAAATCAAAAAAGAGTTGCAGCTCAATTATCATAAACAGCCAAACTCAAGAGTTTCCACTTAGTAAAAGCAAACTCAAAATAAAATTATGAAAAGCAGGATGCACATAAAAGAAAACTTTCCAATATGCCAACCTTTAACTCTTTGTTCATAGGCAGCCTTATCCCTCATCATTAATGCTGCCGCCTCTCCATTCAACGGATCTGAAGGATTTGGATACAAGAGAAGCTGTGGAAGGAAAACTTCAAATACATTCACAAGATCTGCAGACGAGAAAAGAACATTAAGGACAACTGTTCCATTTAAATATCCAAAACATATCAACATATTGATTTTGTGTACGAATCTATATGCTATCCAATATTCCAATCCAAGTGAATCATGAAATTTACCAAACATAGGGCTCCAAGTCTGGTTAATGACATCCAAACAAATAGATCCAGACCTGAAATTACATCAGAAATGCTATAAGAAGCTCGAAAAGTATCATTAACTGCATCAACTAATGGAGAAAAAAACAGCATACGTCTCATCCACGTTTGGATGATAAATCTTATTTACAAAACCAATTGAGGGAGATTTGTAGGGATAAGCATCAGGAAGCTCCACCCTAATCCTCCACACTCCACCTTGATACAGACCTGCAGCATCAGTAACATTACTCAAACTGAAGGTGAAAACCATAACCACTATTTAGTAAATCCTGTAAATCAAAATTTAACTAATCTTGAGAGGATTAAAACCTGCAAACTGTTTAGCATGACAGTTACTAAATTTTGTTAAATCCTGATAAACTATTTGGCATGTTCTTTGAAGATTTAATATTTACGTGAGAGAGAAATTGTTAGAGCATCTCCAACCAAAAATCCCATTTTTTACTCCAAAATGCAGTGAAACTCAAAAATGCCGTGATTCATCTCCAATCGAACTCCATTTTGCGCGCTTCTGCGAAGGTAACCGTCTTTCTCCTCTTTCGCGCGTTTTTTCGATAAATCCGGTTGAGGCAAAAAAATCGCGTAGGTGATTAGTGCAACTCCAATATTGGAGTCGCAATGTTCACCTGCAAGCAAATAGTGGAAGATTTGGCATTCGGTAGACAGTTCGGCATTTGGTTAGAGATGCTCAATTCGTTAAATGGAGTGAATGTTGGGATTTAACGAATCATAGATTTAAGCAATAACTACAGGATTTCAAATCCCAATTTTCTGCTTGGCAGGATTTAAGCTAAATCTTGCTTAAATCTGGCATAAAATAGTATACCAAACAGCCCCAATAAAAAATGCCATATCGTCAAATCACCCACTTAATTCAACACATCCATGACTAGGCGTCCAGCCGATATTAGTCCACGTCGATCACTAGAAATAAAATAGAAAGAACAGCTCAGCCGCAGAAGCTCCTTTGATTTTTTAACAAGGAGAAAAGGAAATAGCTCTAACTTCTAATTCCATAAAAATAGATCATCATCTTTAACCATAGATACTCCTCCAAATGGTCAAAGTAAGATCAAAAATCAAATTTTGAACGCCTACATCCAATTATTTTCTACAAAATCCAACAAGATTACAATCACTCCGCCCAAAAATTTTCCCATCTAAGCTTTATTTGTATGAGCAAATCAAAGATAAAATACAGAAGGTGGAGCAGAAGCATTTACTCTCTTTAGGCCCATGAAAATCCACAAAAAACTCGTTCATCCCATCGTTTACCATCTCCACCTTATGATCACTCATCATTCTAACAAAAATAAGAACCAGTCAGAACTAAGACAAAAAGTAGAAAGAAATCAAGAGAAAGACAGAGAAGTTTCAGATTATCACAGCTTCATCAAATCCATCTCTCGGCGCTTGCTTGGAGAAGACATCTCTCCTTCAAGGTTTGATGAAGAGCTACAGAGAAACAGAGCTGGATTACTGAGAAAGAAATTGAAGAGAGAAAAGCTCAGTTTCCTCTCTAATGGAGCAGGAGAGACGCTGACACAGGAGTAGGTACTGCCTTACAGGACAAACTCTTTTATGGAATGAAATCAAAATTTCTAAAATCACATTAATTAACTATATATTAATACCATCAAAGTAACTTCTCGTGCCAAATATATTAAGTATAGAATTATGATCGTTGATTTTGATTGAAAATAATGTTTATTTAAAATTAGATTATAAATTAATTATTTTTTTTGGTCTTTTAAGTATGATTATTGGTTAATCATGATTTAAAAATAATTAAAATTTTGTTTTTAAATAATTGGATGGATTTAGATTCGCTTTTACCTAACTATAATGATTAGTGTAAGAGTTACGTTTAATGGAAAAAGATTAGATCATTAAAAATAATCAAAATGTCCCAAAAAGAAATAAAAAAAATTAATTTTGATCTCATTTAAATTAGGATATTCTCACCCAAAATTTGATGGCTTGCGTGAGGAGAAAAGGAAGGCAAGCAAGAGAAACAATTAGACAAGTTGAGCACATTTAAAGAATATGTGTTGTATGAATATACGTTTTGTATATATTACTTATCGTGCTCAATAATCTCTCCAACTATGGAGCGATTTAGATGACTTGTTCAAGGAACCTATACGGTTTCAATGGGAAGCTACTTCCAACTTAATAACACTAGAGTTTAAAATAATAATGAAATCAAATAAATTTGATCTATAGATAATACATCATCAAAAATTGCTTTGACCATGCATGAGTCGAGCAGTTGAACTCCGATTTTAGCAAATTTATAGTCAAACTAAATGTCTCGAAGAGACTAACCAGACGACACCAAAATTGGTCAAATCTGCTAAATGTCTCGAAGAGACGAACCAAACGACACCAAAATTGGCCGAAGCTTATTTAGAATGTTCAAAGCTTAAATTGGATGACCAATGATATTCAAATATGACATGCTTATAATCGAATCGAGCAGCTCGACGAAACGAACCCAACGAGCTCAGGATCATTGAATTCTGGCATCATTAAGGCACCTAAACACTTGAAAAATGCTCTGTGATCGGAGGAATATATATGGGCCGAATGATGGAGCACTCCAATCTTGCCTCAGACCTTCTCTATATTTACAGGGTATGCCCCATGAAAATCTATAAATAGACCTCTACTTTCTACATGAAGGGAGGACCTTTGGTCATATATTGGAGAGAGCTCTAAGGCTTTAAGAGCTCCAACATCACCGCAGGAGAACCCCTATCGACGGTCGTCGAACCACCATCCAACCATGGATCATTGCTGGACTTTCGTCCATCTGTTGTCAGACCACCATCCGGCCACTGACCAATACCAGACTTCCACCCGGCTGCAAAACTCCACCGGACTTCAACCCAACCATCGTCGAACCACCGCTCTGCCGCTGAACATCGTTGGACTTCCACCCCATAATCGACCGTCGCTAGACTTCCGCCCAACCATCATCGGACCACCTCCCATGGACTTCCACCTAGTTGCCAACCATCGTCGAACCACCACCTAGCCACCAATCGCCATCAGAGTTCCACCCGGCTGCCAACCTCCATCACCAGATTATCGACATACCACCATCTGGTCGCCGATTTTTGCTGGACTTCCACTTGGCTATAGACCGCCGCCTGACTTGCACCCGACCATTGTCGGACCACCGCCAGACTTCTGCCTGATTATCGTTGGACTACTAACAAGCTGCTGACCGCTACCGGGCTACCACCTGGCGTTTGACTGCTGCCATAATCCTGCCTAACAGTCGTCGGACCACATTCGCGCGCCGACTACAATCCCTTTTGCTATGTCGTCTACCAACTAAGGTCCCTTCGACCATTGTCGCTCATCGATTATGCTCAGTTCGACCTCCATTGCCCACTGACTACGGTCCCCATCGTTGGCCCCCGACTACAGTCCCTTCAACCAACATAAATCGATGACTATGATCTCTCCGACCTCTATCACCTGCTGACTTCGATCCTTCTAATCATCATTGCTCCCTGACTACAGTCCCTCTGACCTACGTCGTCCCCCGACTAAGGCTCTACAACCCCTTCCTCTTGCCAACCAAATGAACGTGCTAACTTTCAAATAAGAATGGCTCTCTTATTATTAGATTCTTGCAAACACCACCATATAATGTGCTTTATATTATGCATATTTATTACATCATATTAAGGCCTTTACTCCGTGGAAGGACCTCATTTGTAATCAACAATAAACACTACTGAAATCATTTTAACTAGATCAGACCCTGTGATTTTTTACCTTTTCAAAATTTTCCACATAAAAATAATGGTATCACTTATGACTCGCATCCCTCTCACTTTATTTGTATGTGTGTTGAATCTTTGTTCAAAGCTAAGACATTAAGCTCTTTATCTCTCTATCGTCGTGAATATTCTAGTCCGGAACAATAGAATTGAGCAAGATTAATATATAATTAGTAATATTTTATGTTAACATTGTTAAATTAAAGAGCTTAATTTTTAACATATATGCTTCATTTAGGACAACTTTCATAATGCTTTGTAAAGCTATGGTAGAGAAAGTAACCTTTTATAATTGTTATGAAACATAATTTTTTAGTATAGAATTTTTTTAGAAGTAACAAAAAAACAGTGGTCAAATAAAAATTATAGTTGTGATCTAAAAAATAAAGCAATAAGAAAGTTGTTAAAAAATAAATCACAATGAGAGACCTTTAAGATTTTTTCATTGATTATTTTTCTTTGGCTATTTTTTTCTAAATATATATATATATATAATAACATCAAATTTTTATCTCACTATGTGGATAAAAATACAGCACAGTCTTTGCTAAGTATGAAGCCCTCGATGAGAGTGTTATTAGGAGGATAAGTACATATAAGAGTTTAAGTCTTAGATGCATAAAAGTAGTCTCATCTTGGGAATATTTTAGTTACTTTTTAAATAGTTGAATGATTAAAATGATTCTTTAATATAGTTGAAGATTATTTTGATCTTTTATAAAATGTCAATGAATTATTTTGATCCATTTCTTATTTTACCATCTCTAAAGCCATTTAGAAGCATAAGCTCCCGGCGAAACGTTAGTCACACTCACTCTTATTAGTAGTAGATGAACCTCATGTGCTTGTAAATGGTAAAATTATTCTGTGCGGATGACAAGGACGCCGTCTGGAGGCGAATCAGAACATGCTATGTTACCTTTTTGTTGTGTACTGCGGCTGCGTACCAAGTGACGTGCTGCACAAAATTCTCCTCCGGACGGTCTGGTTTCCGCACAAAATAATTTCTCGTGTAAATGAGCCAAAAAAATGGATAAGATGGGGCCTTGTTTGGCTGATTCATAAACTACCTACCCTTCATTAACAAACCAAAAATATTACTCAAATTTGTCTCATCTGCTATTGAGTCAAACAGGAACAACAAGGCAAGCCAATGAACATTCTTTCATCACATTTTTATTGATAGCTCTAGTTTCATAAAATAAGAGGTTGTGATCAACTTAATATTACTTAAAACAGGCAAAACATATGCAGTCCACAATTGTAAAAGCTAATTATCTGACTCCATGTTGAAACAAAATCACAAACGATATCAAAATATATTACATCCATCACAGTACTAAAAGCTAAGCTTATCTTTTGCACACTAATAAAACAGATTATATATAAGCATAATCACCTCACACTCTACTGCTTAACCAGCTTTACATCAGGATTTCTCATTGGCCCCAGCCACATATCCTCCATTACTCTTGATGATAAGCTCCATAACAGATCCTGCTGCAACTTGATTTAATAGGCTTACTCTTCTTTCCCAGCTTCCCCAACCCATTGGCCACCAGCCATTGAGTTGCAGTTAACCTGCTCTTCTCCCCATCCCAAGTAATCCTCTTCCCTCCAGACCTCACCTTCAAGCCTCCTACATGGATGCTAATCACTTTATATCTTGTTTCTTCGTCATCTTCTGTATCTTCATTTGGTCTGATGGCTTGTATTAGAGCAATAACTGGAGCACCAACAGCCTCATATTGTCTTGCAGGATCTCTCAACTGAATGATCGCTAGTAGTGTTAGTCTCTGATATTCGTCAGAAGTTTTCTCATCTTCATCAATGGAAATGGCTGAATCCAATATTTGTTGGGGATTATCTGTTCCTGCAAGTAGAGGCAGCAAAAAAAAAAACAACTTAAAAAGGAAAACTAAACCCAACAAAGAAAAAAACATTCTGTTTCTAAAATTGCACAAAAGGATCTGTTTGGTTTGACTTAATTTGTAGTTTTTTTGTAAACCAAGAAAAGTCGAATCGTACTTGAAAGACTTTATGTTTGATTAATAGCTTATAAAGCTAAACCAACCAGAATAAAAAATAAAAAAATCCTAGCTGAATCTGTCTTGGAAACAAATGAAATGGTGCCCACCCTTACCTGAAAGTGGCAATACATCATAAGTAGCTTCCTCCTCAGCCATATCTGCTTGGACCTTAAGAGCTTCAAGCGCCATTTCCTGTATCCTCTGAATTGAGAAGGCTAGAATCTCCTCAAGCAATATTGAATTCTCTTTAATGCTCCAGTTCTCATTCAAGCTCCTTCCTTTCATGTCTTCGCTCATTGCTGAAATCATTCTCTTGACTGCACCAATTGACTTTGCTGCGCTAGAGCTTCCGCCTTCCTTGTTCCTTCCACTTATAATGGCAGATGCAATACCTTCAAAAGCTATTTGCTCAGCGGTTTTACCCAGCAACTCATCCATGGCTGCCATTAAGATCAGTTTGGAGCACAGCTCTTCAAGACCCACGGCAGCCAACCTCTGGAAAACTTCCAATCCACTGGAAAGCCTTGGGTCTCGGAGGACGAAAGCCTTTGAGATTTGCAGTACAAGTTTTGGTGTCTCTTTTCTAGTTATTAATTGGTTGAATGGATTCATTGATGCCATGAAACCTCCATCCTTTGTCTGAATTACAGGACCCAAACCATTGCCAAGATCAGGAAGTAGAACCTTTGTCTCTTGATTTTCATCTTTTTCAGGTATCTTTCCAACCTCCAGCTGCTTGTTGTTAGCTTTTTCATCAAGCATTTGAAGGAACTCTCTTGTCACAGTCTCCTCACTGTCATCAAGCTTGTTCTTCTCATCTTTTTCTTCCGTGCTCGTCGTAATGATCAAATTCTTGCTCATCATAGACTCGAGATCCTTAATGTCATTAGCAATTGAATCAAGCTCCATCAACCGAAATTGCTTCTCGGCTCGGTTATGAACTACTTCCTTCACAACTTCACCTGTTGGTGACCTTTTTTCTGCTTCATTATCGTCTACTGCTCCAACCCATAGCTCGGTTCCCTTGTCAACTATCTGAAACTCTGGAAAATCAAAATTTTCGACATCCGCTTGCTCGAAAATGGACATTTTATTTACCCTAGAGTCCAGAGTTGAGATACTGAATGAGTTCATGGACTTCCTTATGGCTCTTCCAGAAGAAAAACTCAGCAATCCTTTATTTTTCAACCTTTCCGTCTCAGTCACCCTGTTATAAATTCCAACTCCTCCATCATCCATGATCTGAAAACCTACTCTGAGAGCCAATTTACCTCCCTCTGCCTTCCCCGTAAGCTCGACCGCCGCATCCCACTTCCGAATTCTGGCTCCCTCTAAGCTCCCCTCTATGGACTCCCTGATGAGTTGGCTCAGGTCGACAATGGTCCTTCCAAGCTCAAGCTCCGCCACATCAACGGCGACAACCGAAATTAGGAACGGGCGGGCCTCGAGCTTGATCGGCTTCCTCGTGGCCGCGCCACCACTGCAATGAACATTGCATTGTATGAAGAGGGTCTCCTCAAACTCAGCACAACCTTGAAGAACTCGGCTGGGCATAGCGCGCACCGCTCCATCCCTCGATTCTCTCTTTCGAATACCAACGGAGAGGCGGAGCCCATTCATGGATTCCGGGAGGTTGCGAATGTCGAGGACCTCAACCACGAAAAGGCAGCTGATTCGCCGCATTCCAATATGGGTTAACATCCGAATCGGCTTCCAGTTCCTGATGCCTCTCTTCTGCTCTGCAGATAGAGAGGCTTGACTGTTTTGAAGAACTTGTGGATTCTGCCATTGGGAAAGAGAAATACAGCTGGCCGGATCGACAGAGAGATTCGAGGTTGGGAGGGTAAGAGAATTAGTGCGTCGGCGAGCAATGGGCAGTTGGGAGAGGGACTGGTTCATGGCTTCCAAATCATGGAGGAGCTCTGAGCCGGAGCTTCTTGTGACGGAGTTCGAAGCCATGGTTGAAGGTAAGTTAAGTTCCTGAACAAGTTACTGGTGGTTTTAATGGTGTTGGTGGGTGAAGAGTGTGCGCGTTTTATGGATCAGAAGCAGCCGCTTAGCTATTCAGATAACAACAAATTTTCTGGTGGGAGGAAAGGTCAAAACGTAGGCTTGTTTTTTTCCAACGGTGCATTTGTTGCCAACCGCGTGTTCTTACTTTGTTTAAAAGAGTACACCAACGGTCGGCAAAATGATTTTTACTGAATAATATGATTTATTCTTTAAAAAAAAAAGAATACTATGTTTTATTTACAGTTTTATTTTTAAAAAAAAATTCATTGATTATTAATATTTTACATTTTCTTAGATGAGCACTCATAATAAATCACTATTATTCATTTGTTTAAATAAGATTTTAATTATTTATAAAATACTTAATAAATGAATTAATATATATATTGTTGCGTTCAGGAGTATTCGAGGCGGTAGAGAAATATAAAGTTTATCGTCTTAGCGTTGAATGAAAATCTGGCACGCAATCAGATAAAAAGAGAGGGCCTATTTCACATGAGACACCAATGTTTTTACCCTGAAAAAGAGGAAAAAACCATCGGGGCCTAGCCCAGTTTGAATGAATCCACTAGTACTGTAGTTGATTACAAATGAGGTCCTTCCTTGGGGGATGGCCTTAGCTTGATGTACATCTTATGGAGTACATTACATAATGTTAATACAAAGAGTCATATGTTTTTACCCTGAAAAGGGGGAAAAACCACCGGGGCCTAGCCCAGTTTGAATGAATCCACTAGTACTGTAGTTGATTACAAATGAGGTCCTTCCTTGGGGGATGGCCTTAGCTTGATGTACATCTTATGGAGTACATTACATAATGTTAATACAAAGAGTCATTGTTTGACATGTTCGTTTGGTCGGAAGGATCGTAGTCGGCGGGCGACGGAGGTCGAAAGGCTTGTAGTCGGTGGGCGACGTAAGTAAGGAGGACCGTAGTTGACGGGCGACAGAGGTCAGAAGGCTTGTAGTCGGAGGGTGACGTAAGTAAGGAGGACCGTAGTCGGTGGGAGACGTAAGTAAGGAGGACCGTAGTCGGCTGGCGACGGAGGTCAGAAGGACTGTGTCTGACGATGAAGGTCAAAAGGATGGCATCGGGTAGAAACTTGGCGAATAGTGAAGATCCAACGTCATGTAGAAGTCCGACGTCTGTGGTAGAGGAGAACGTACTCCGGCTTCACTTGGGCGGAGTTTCGGCGTCAGGAGGGAACTCTATTGTTAATTGGGAAGAATTTCAGCATCACGTGGAAGTTGGGCAGAATTAAGGCGTTTTTCTGAATGTCCGGCATAATCCCAGCGTATTCATGCGGCGGGAAGAGCTCCGACAGTGGTCGAGGAGGAGATGAATCTCCCTTTCCCCTTTCTCTTCTTCTTCCCTTCTTCTTCTCTCTCTTCACATCCCCCCTCTTGTGAAGAATGAGGGCTCTATTTATAGTTTTTCTGGAGTGGCATGGATTGTAAATAGGCGTGAGATCAGGGGCGAATTGAATATATGACATGAGATATTGATATAAATTGAGCAATATAATATTTTTCTAATATTAATTTGCTTGAAAATTTTATCCGAAACATAGCTATTTTTTATATAAATAATTACTTATTAGATAGTTCCTTAGATTGCCAATTGGTCAACCCTATGGTTCAATGAATCATAGGAGAAGGATTAAGGTTTCGTTTGTGACGGTTTTCTTACTGCTTCTTAATGCAGTTTTTTAGTACAAAATTTTTAATTTTTGTACTAGAAAATCTCTTTAAGAAGCAGTAAGAAAGCCGTCCCAAACGAAGCCTAAGCCTGTCCAAAATATTGGATAATAATCTGTTACGCTTAAGTTAGCGATCCAATTGGCATGTTTGTCATGGCCCAAAGATTGTTAGGGGTAGCCAATGGTTTAAGTGGGAGCATAGGTGGGACCACTTAGGTGCATACAATGAGCCATATAACAATTGAGCGCAAATTGATGGATTAAGTCCATATTGAGGCTAGCCTTGTATAGAGCATGGCTTAATTGTCAAGCTAGGGCTTATAGAGGCTAACTTAAGGGAATATTTGGCATTACTAGGTGAAAAAGTTCAATTCCATAACTCAACTAAGCTAATTTTATTAGCGCTAGAGTTAATTTGGTTTAACCCAATAAAAGTAGTATAGGAGTTATTTGATTGCCTGAAAAAAGGAATGTAATGTAAAATCAATACTTTGGAGTTATTTAGATGATTGTAAAAAGAATGCATGTGATTATTTTTTCTTTGTTTGATTTGAAGTAATGCAATGTAAAGTGAAAAAAGTAATAGTCAATGGCGGCATTGATGGCCGATGGCTAATAGTGGGCAGCCAACAGAGGTGGTGGCCGATGGTGGCCGGTGGCGATAATAGTCAGTTGCGGCCAACGATGGAGGTCCGTAGCAGCCAAAAGTGGGGGTAGTGGTCAATAGCGGTCGGTGACAATTGCAATGAATTTCCAATGTGTTTGAATTTTCTCAAATTAAAATAATTTCAAATACACAAAATATGAACTAGATAATATATTCCAAATACATCAAAGTTTTACACTATGTTTATTTTACTTCAAAACAAATGTCAATATTATGAAAATCTCTATATTCAAAATCCTTTACACTCCTCTTACAGGCAATCAAACAAGCCTTTAGAGAGAAGAGA